TTTGAATTCCCCAGACTAAAGACACTATTGCTAAATCTTGTGATTTGGGGCAAGCTTTTGCATAGCTACCAGCATCTCTGGAATTGACTGGTTCCTTTGTGCCCTTCTCATCCATTGAGAATAGTGTATTGTTACAAGGTGTCTCTTATGTAACGAAAAAGCTTGCCCCGAATCTCGAGGTATAGCAACAGTGGTTTTAGTATGGAGAATTCAAATTGCGATGTTCATGTGAATTTCAAGAACTCATTGTACTAGATTGTATTCAAATTTAACTCACAAAAGGCTTACTAAAACTGGTGCTCAAAATAATACCAATAAAGTTGTCCTCTTTTTGATAATTTCTTTGTGGTGCATGGTATTCAGAATAGCTCATACTCAACCTAAACCTTGCTGTTTGCTGATTACTAAACAGAGAATCTTTATATTTCATTCTGGAGGTGATGTTTCCTGTCTGTCTTGCTTTCACAGCCTTTCCCTTAAATGGCACCTAAACCGTAAGACCGGCGAGGTTCTCCGCATGATGGACAGAGGCACCACCAGCATCAACAGTTTACTGAGGTTGGTAAAGTCACACTTTGGGCCAGAATCAAGGACAATGAATTCACACTTAGTCAGAATGGGAAACAGGTCGCATCAGTGCATTATTAAGCGATATTACTTTAGCATTCATCTACATATTTGACAATGTCACATTTTGTGGCTTCTCTGACGTAAGCTTGCACTGATTTTGAGAAAAGTGATGAATGTATTTGAGGGATTAGCAAATCTTATTCTGTGGTAAGTGTCCTCCATAACTACATGTAATAACACAATCATTGAGGCAGGATGTCAAAAGTCAAAAATGATCCCTTTCAAGTGTATGCTGTGTGGCTGATTGCACTGTGAATCGCTTGTATAAATATGCGGATTTCCATACGTACAAGACACTATGTGTTGTTCAGAATTGAAACTCTGTCTTTTCCTCGCTTGGCATCTCCCACAGATGCTGACATCTCTGTACTCTCTGTTTCAGTTACATCATCTTCCAGATTTTTCCCACTATTGTGGACATCATTGTTGCCATTGTCTATTTCGTCACCTCCTTCAATGCCTGGTTTGGGCTGATTGTCCTTGTTGCCATGGTGCTGTACATCAGTAAGTGCTACCAAAGAGTGAAAAAAAACAACAGATATTATTTTTATTTGTGTTAATGAAGCTGGAGTAATATGCAATTATGTCCTTTTTTTTTGGAAAACATAACATCGTATTTTCTTACCCAAAATAGCTGCCGCGGGTGGGTTCTTTTTCTGGAAATTCTTCGTTATTGCAATTTATTAATGACACAACCAAGTATGATTCATTTTTATATCCACCGCGGAAATAAAAAGATGTCTTCACCCTAACCCGCTAGGGCCCTTTTACTAGGGCAGATCCTCAATTCTCCAAAACCCTCTAATTGCCCAACTTCAAAAACTGCATTCATCCTCAATCCTCCAAAATCCTACATTTTTTTGGCTTACGCACAAAACGAAAGGTACCTGATTATCCTCCAAAATCCTCAATCCTCCAAAATCTTCCATTTCCTTGCTTTGTGATTTTTTTTGTCTGTTTTTGTTTTTTGGGAAGGGGGAGGGTTGGGCACATCAGGTTGGTTGCTGGGCTGAAGTTGGATGTTTGCAATGTTGGCTAATGGCTTTACTTTGTCATAAACAAAGCAGACGTGCCTTTGTTTTAACACACTGCAGTTGAGGATTGTGTAATTTATGACCAGCAGCAGTGAACAATGGAACACACTGTCCTTGGGTACATATATATTGTAAACAGTATAATACGTGACCATATGCACCACCGTGTGATTGATTTTAGTACTTCATTCACCATTCATCCCCAATCCTGCAAAATCATCCAGCTTTTAAATGATCATTGATCCTGAATCCTCCGGAGTCCTCCAGCCTTTAAAACACTGTTCATCCTCAATCCTCCAAAATCTTCCAATATTCAAATCATCATTCTCCTGAATCCTCCAAAATCCTCCAAAATCACCTGGAGGATTGATTTGGGTTAGGGTTAAACAAGTGCACGCCTCCTCTGTGGGACAAATGAGAAAAATTGTTTGTGCTTACTTGTCATCCGGCGTCAAGTTGTTAATATAGCAAAGAGGTTATCTACTTTGAGATCCTTATTTTGGAAGTTATCCAAGGGAGTTTATTTATGCATTTTGCACCTTTACAATTCCAGTTGCCACTGTGGTCATCACAGAATGGAGGACAAAGTTCAGACGGGAGATGAATCTGGGAGACAATAAAATGAAGCAGAAAGCTGTTGATTCCTTGCTCAACTTTGAGACGGTAATATTGTCGAAATTGATTTTTTTTTCAACCACTTCATAC